AAGCATGATGCTGAAAGTTTAATGAATTGTTCAAAAATGGTAAGACATATTATTCTTGTTTTATATTTTTATTTTAGTTACTTATGATAATAATAAGAAAAATAAAATCTTTAGGGCAATGATTTAAATATCGAAGAATCTGCGCAAGAATATATATTCTATATGAAAGTCACACAAGTGGAACCAAATACTGCTGAATACAAGTATGAGCTTGTATTTGTGCTCGATGCATCCCCTGCTACTATTCATCAAATAGAAGAAACAAGTGATAAAGGCAGAAAATCTCCATGCCTTGCAGATGACAACAATTCTGATATTCCCGACATCTCACCACGACGCGCAAAAAGATCTTCCTACCGACGTTCAACTGTTGCTGACATGAATGTTGTCACCAAAAACATTACCCCCAATCCACAAAATGATGCCGCAGAGAAAGGAAAGCTGGACTAACCATAGTCTTGGATACAGCATGAATGCTACAACCTAAAAGATTCAAGTGCTTGTTTTGCTATCTCCATCTGAATCAATTCAGCCAGTTTTTGTTTTACTTTGTAGCATCATCCAGAAAAAAACTTCAAGGCATTTTTTGACTTGTAAATAGGTTTCCCAACTTTACTATAAAGTTGATGTAAAAAAATAACATGCCTTTAGTTTGTAAGTTATAACTCATCTGATGAAGTTTATGGTATTTTGAAATATATAAAAAAACCTTGTTTACTATCAAATATATCTTTTATCATCATTGTATTTGATAAGGAACTTTTGCTGAAGTTAATGATGTTTGCGAGTTTAGAGCAATAATTTCAACCAACCAACTAATTAGAATAAAAGAGTGGAAGAATCTGATAATCTTGTTCGTTATGCCTATAATCAGTGCAAGAATTCTTTGAAAGATGGTGATTTAGTCAACGTAAGAATGGCAGCGCAACAGTACAGTGGTAACATGATCTGACAGTACATATTCAGCAAAAGGTACTTCGGAGAAGGTATCGAAGATGGAGGGCCAGGAACCAAAGAGGAAGAGCACAATGAGGCAATCTTTACAATTCTTTCTTATCTCTACACATTCAGCATTGCAGACTATGTCTCCTGGTTGAAGATCTTCGATTTTGATGGCCATAGAGGGATGCTAAAGAAAGCTATTGAGAATCTAACTAAATACCATGATCCTGAAATAGACCATAGGATTCAGATGTGGAAAAGTGGGAGCAAAGCAAATGAATAAGACATTCTCGATGTTATGATAAATTTAAAGGACTCAAAAGGTTCTCCGCTTTTGACAATTGAAGATATCAAAGCCCAAACTATTGTAAGCATGAATTCAACCTCCTCAAATCTACCACTCTATTCAACTGTCACAATATTTCACGTATTCTCGCACCGAAAATACGAATTGTATTGTCCTTTGTATATGGTAAATTGAACAAGGTATGTCGCAGAATTTATTAAGGGATCACAAATTGACAAGCTACCATTTCATTATATTAATTATGTTAAAGATAGTTATTATTCTCAACTTCCATCATAGATTAAGCCATTAGAAGCTTTATTTTTAAGATTATTTGTTTGAAGTATTAAATTCCTTTTGATACAATTATTAAAACTAATTTTTATTTTTAAAAAATTGTGAATTAAATAAATATTCAACATTAACTATTTCACCTACCCACTCAACTACTCATTTAAACACTCTTTTTATTTTTTGATTTCTACCAATTCATTACCATTCCCGTGCATAATCTTTCATCCAAACCACATCCAAACCACAATTGCCATCATCCCATCGCCGGTGAAAAAGTAAGGTTTTCTTCTTGTAAATCTAGCGGTCCTAAAAACACAGTGTATTTCCGAGCACACACATAGCTTCCGTGCATCAGAATATACGGAGGCACGTATAGTGGACGGAGGCACATACGTGTGTCTCCAGCCTTGAACTAAGACACGACCAAATGCCTCCGTCCA